TTTTCAATGATTTTGTTTGTTGTTTCAACTTTTCCTTCCCACTCTATCCAGGACCTTCCAATGTGATTCCTTTCAGAGCAGTTGGTCATAGTAGTCAGGCACCATCTAGCTCTTCTGGTCTCAGTGTCGTGGAGATTGGTCTTTCATGGTTCATCAATCCATTGGACGAATTGTCTCCAAGTGTCTTCAATTATCATCAATTCTTTCCTTCAGTCAAGGAGAGACCAATACCAGCGCTGAAGATGGCTGCTCATGAGCTTTCAGTCACTACTCACCAATGTAGGATATTGTCTTGTCTTTTAACTTTTTATTATGAACTGATTGAACATTTTCAGAGCAGTTTTACACTCAACAAATACAATTCGTCTCATCTCAACAATTGCAACCCCCTCAATGCACCCACAGAAACAGCAGTCAAGAAATCAGACGACGTATTGCATTAGGCACATCTGCTACACAAGACCTTTTTAAAGTGTTGAAGCGCAAAGATGTCAGCTTGAGGACTAAGGTGTGCCTGACCCAAGCCATGGTATTTTCAATAACCTCATATGCAAGCGAAAGCTGGACAGTGAATAAGGAAGACCCTAGAAGAATTGATGCTTCTGAGTTATGGTGTTGGAGGAGAATATTGAAAGTACCATGGGCTGCCAAAAGAACCAACAGATCTGTGTTGGAAGAAGTGCAGCCAGAATGCTCCTTGGAGGCCAGGATGGGCAAACTTCGTCTCTCATACTTCAGACATATTGTCAGGAGGGACCAGTCGCTGGAGAAGGATATCATGTTTGGTAAGGTGCAGGGTCAGAGAAAAAGAGGAAGACCCCTAGAGAGATGGATTGGCCAAGTAGCAGCATAGGTGGGCTCAAGCGTGGCAACAATAGTGAGGTTGCCTCAGGATCGGGCAGTGTTTCGTTCTGCTGTGCATAAGGTCGCTATGAGTCGGTACTGACTCGATGGCACCAAACAACAACAACAACAACAATGCAGCATCAATTATCCCACTTCCTTCCCATGATTCTTGCCATTCCTCCTCCTTTCCCAATCCTTCTAAATTCTATCCTCAGGTAAATGCTGCCCTTTTGATCTCAAACAATCAATCAATCATCCTGTGGTGTGCGTACATCACTAGTGTTGTTATCCCCTCCATCTATCTATTGCTTGGCTGAAAACTGAGCCCCAGCGGTGAGTTCAGTTCCAGACCTGAGGAATGACCAAGGGCCATAGTCTCAGAGTTCCTTGTCTCTTTCTGTTCAGAACCTTCTAACATCTCTTTCAGAGTAGTTGATTGTAGTAGTCGGGCACCATCTAGTTGTTCTGGTCTCAGGGTCCTGGAAATTGATGTTCAATGGTCTCTAAGTGTCTTCAGCTTTCATCACTCTGCTTTCCTCTGGACAAAGAGAGAGACCAACAGTTGCACCTTACCTTGACTATTCATGAGGTTTTAGGATTCCAGTTGCTACTCACCAAAGTAGGTCCTAGAGCTTTGTGTTTGTGGATTATGTTATTGCCAATTGACCATGATGTTCCTGAGCCCCTAGACCGAGCAAACCATTCCCTCAAAGTGTTTGGTAATGTCTAAGAAATTTTCATAATTTTGCCTTTATGTTCCATCACATTCATGCATATATTTGTATCAATATCTGCTGTCAAACATTTATACATTTGTGGGTATATTCCTACTCTCCATATGTGAAAGCTGGATAGTGAATAAGGAAGACCGAAGAAGAATTGACGCATTTAAGTTATGGTGTTGGAGAATATTAAAGATACCCTGGACTGCCAGAAGAACAAACAAATGTGTGTTGGAAGAAGTACAACCAGAATGCTCCCCAGAAGCCAGGATGGCCAGACTTCATCTCTCATACTTTGTATGTATTATCAGGGGGGACCAGTCCCTGGAGAAGGACATCTTGCTTGGATTGGCAAAGTGCAGCAGAAATGGGCTCAAGTGTAACAACAGTTGTGAGGTTGGCTCAGGACTGGGCAGCAGATGGTTCTGTTGTGCATAAAGGTTACTCTGAGTAGGTCCCGACTTGATGGCACCTAACACCGCAAACTCCCACTCAGCTTTCACACCCATTAAGTCTGTGGATCTACCCATGGATCTAACCAGTAGATCAGTTACTGCAGTATCCGACATACCTTTTTAAAATGATTTTTTGGCTTTATTGTAGAGTAAGAATATTCTATAAAATTCCCCCATTTAAAATAACACCACTGGGTAGATTTCCCTAACTTCATACAGCTGTGCAGCTATCGCCAAATCATCTTGGAATCCTTCCACAGGCCGCCAAAGTTTTCTCAAGCCCCTTTGTAACCAATCCCCATTCACGCCCCAGGCCCCAGGCAAATACCCTTGTGCTTTCTGTTGAAAGAGCTTTGCCTTTTCTACAAAGTTTGTACCAATGAAATCATAGGGTCTGGTTTCTCATTTAGCACACCATTTCTGAGAAGACGTCACAATAATGTGTCCTAACTCTCAAACTGTCTGCCTATCTGGGTCGTCCATCTCTTAGTAAAACTGTCGTATGGTTGTATGTTGTTTAGTGCCATCAAGTCGGTTCTGATCCGTTATCAACCCTGTATAGGGTTTCCGAGCAGCTGATGAACTTGAACCACTAACCTCACATTGTTGTTATTGTTGTTAGGTGCCATTGAGTCGTTACTGACTCATAGCGACCTTATTCACAGCAGAACGAAACCTGCCCAATCCTGGGCTAACCTCACTACTGTTGCCACACTCAAGTCCATTGATCTTGCAGAGTCACCAGCCGCTCCTTGGGAACCCTATAACAGGGTGGTGGAGTTTGAACTGACTCAGCAGCACCAACAATTCACTGGAAGGATCCCATGTGGCAGTGTGACAAACATTAGGCTGGCTGCTAAACTGCCAAAGATCAGCAGGTATCTCAAGCCCAGCAACTGCTCTGGAGTTAAAACAAGGCTGTCGACTCCTATGAAAAAGTGAGGTCTCAGAAATCCCGAGAATCAACATGCAGCCGCAGTGTGTTTAATACTCAACTGAGAGCGCTAAATTCCCCTACTTCAGTACCAGGTTTTGTCTGTCCTGGTGTGGCCCTGTAGGTCAGCTTGTACAAAGCCAGTGTCACCAGCCGCTCCTCAAAAACCCTGTACAGGCCCAACTGAATACTTTTTCTAGAGTCCTTAGTGGTCATTTACAGATAGCCATAACCTTCCTAACCTATATCCATTTTTGCTTTACCAGTCACCAGTCATTCTTTGGAAGGATGGGGTTAGATTACAGTACAGGTTTTGAAGCAGAGTTACGACTCTGTTGATGCCTGTGTGTGATAGACCAACATAGTCAGCAGTGTTGCCAGAGTTCAATTTTCCACCACTGAGCTGGGTTCCAGGTGTCCTCATGGACTGTAGGGACCCATCTTCAGGGAGATTGTTTCACAGAGGCCCTCAACTTCTTTACTCACACAAATGCCTGTTGTTGATTTCAAGTCTTTTGCAGTATATTCTAGTACTAAACACAGGGAAAGCCTACCCTTGGCTCTTTTTGCCATTCAATTCCTAATTTATGTTAAGCCTCAAACTTTCTCCTAGCTGATATCAAGAGAAGGGAAATGCAAAGTAATTTCCCACTAAAATAAGCCAAGGGTGGGATGACTGCACCCTGTCAAATAGTGGAGCAACGTGGTGGTGCTGTTGAGTTTCGGTTCTCACAGGTTTCCCTGAGGTGTCACATCATTGGCATCTGTTCAATTAGGCCCATGGCCTGCTTTCTTTTGGTTCTTTCTACATGGTCTTTCCAAGTCCTCTGACCCACTACAAACCTTGCTTCATGAAATCACACACCCTCAGAACTGAAGTTTCCCAGCCACTTACCCTGAGACCTTACGCCCCATCTGGTGAAATAAAGACTAGAGGAGCAGATTGCAGGTGGTGTGGCATGGAGATTTGGTAATTAAGGTCCAGGGCTATGTTTAGAACACAAATGTTTGGCCACAGAAATGTGTGCTCCAATTGTCTTCTTTCCATTTTGTAACTATTATGTGCTTGCTCCCCCCATCACAAAAGACCTCAAGGTCAGCAGTTCAAAACTACCAGGTGTTCATAAGACAATGATGAGGCTTCTGCTCCAGTGAAGGTTTACAGCCTCAGGAAGCCTGTACAGGGTTTGCGGAATCAGAACCACCGACTCCACACCATCTTTCACATACCTGCATCTCTATGGTGTGCCCCAGAAAACCAATTGCAGTCACTGCTAACCCTCTCTTCCCATTGCACCCCATACCCCCTCCCTCCCCACACTGAGACCCTAGCAGACATGACAGTATGCCTCCTGATACATGTACATTCTGGGGCCACCCATTATCTACCCCCCCAAAAAAAACCATTTTCACACCACTTTCCTTTTAAAGTTTAACTGTATTTATTACAACCTTTTGATACAGCAGGTGATCAGACACTGCATGTCCAACTCACAAGCTCGGCAGTTACTTTTTGAGCTGCCTTTATAGTTGCCTGGGTAGGCAAAGAATTGGACTATTCTAACAATACTTGTCTTTGGAGAACGAGCCTCACGGATACTTGGTCCATCAGGTTGGTTCAGTGTAACATACGAACGTCTAGAGGTCTAGCACATGCACCATTGTTAACTACCAGGGATGGAAGGCTAAAAAAACAAGATCCTAGAAGATGAAATTCAAGTCATTTTAACAGCTTTTTCTTTTATAACATCAAGGTCTATTTCGATATCTCAGTGACTAAACAAGTTTGGGTTACTAAGGAATCCGCTTCATAGCTAACACTTTGAGACCACAGAGTTAACATTGGATTACATACACCTTACAACAAATGTTATCTCCATCTGTTAAATAAGCCAACGTGGAACAGGACAACTAGCTCTGCCTTTAGTTCCTAAAGGACCATAGGAGCACACTTAGAAGTAGAAAGAAATCTTAGCTTGCCCCCCCTTAGTGTCACGCCATCCAAGTTTTTAAAATGTTAACAAAACTTAAATACAATTCTTGAAAATATATTGTCAGAGGGAATGAAGAAAAAGTATTGAACTCGTGGATGCCTCAGGACGAATTAGTCAACTTCCTCCATGCGTGAAGTGTCGTCATCTCCTTCGAGGGGCGGCATCTCTTCAGTGACAGCTGTGCTGGTCTCGTCAGCAGTGGGGTCATCTTCATCAATCCCTTTGGAAGCAAAATCCTAATTAGGCTCATCTCTACAAACCAATCCAAGTGGGACAAGTATAAGGGGGTCCTAAATTTCATGGAAAAACAGTGCAAAGGGAATGGAATTTCCCTACAAACTTAGAGGCCCCTTGGCACAGCTTACCCTCTTGTGGCTAACTCTTCCAGCCCAGGACTCCCTCCTCTCAGTCCCCTGAGCCCGGGGCAACCTAACCACCCCCACCCTGCCCCCGCTGTGTTCCAAACAGCAACATGACCCACTCTGCAGAGGCCCAGTTCCCATTTCTCTAGCTTATCAGGACAAAGCTTACCCAGACCGAGTTTGATCATCCTGTAGATCCTGTTAGCATGTGTCTGGGGATCTTCTAGACTAAAGCCTGAAGACAGCAGTGCGGTCTCATAGAGCAAGATGACCAGGTCCTTCACAGACTTGTCGTTCTTGTCAGCCTCGGCCTTTTGCCGCAAGGTCTCGATGATGGAGTGGTCAGGGTTTACCTCCAGGTGCTTCTTGGCGGCCATGTAGCCCATTGTCGAGTTGTCTCTCAAGGCCTGAGCCTTCATGATTCTTTCCATGTTGGCCGTCCAGCCGTATGTGCTCGTGACGATGCAGCACGGGGATGTGACCAACCGATTGGACACCACCACCTGTAAGCCGACAGCTCTTGTGGTGAGCAGGCCTAGACAGAGTCTAACTCTTCAGCTTTAACCAGCTCTACTGTGAATGAAACCTAAGGAGTGCAACTTTTCACAGTACTGACGGATCAGGCCGAGTGAGTGGGGTCCACCAAGGGGGCTGCAATCCGTGTCACAAAGCACGTGCAGGACCCAGTGAACGGAAACCCTATTTACTCTTTAAACTCTCATCCAAATCGCTCACCCACACACATAAGATTGGATAAAAGAAGCATGTATTAATGGGTCCAATAATATAATTTTCAAATTTATTGCACAACTATGTTAAAGCTTTCTGCCACCCCCCGCCCCCCTTTGGAGTGTGTCAACACAATATTCATCAACAATCACAAAGGACTGAGTTTTGTGCATGTGTGGAAGGAGCGCTCGCACATATGGCTGAAGCTTGAAAGAACATTTAGAGACACGAATTAGAGAAGGGCAGCAGACACAGATTCCATTCACTTACCTTTTCTACTTTTTTCTCCAAGATGTCTTTCATGATTTTGCAGAGGTTTTCAAACTTTGTTTTCTTCTCTTCTTGTTTCTTTTTCTCCTCTTCATCTTCTGGAAGTTCCAAGCCCTCTTTGGTGACGGACACTAACGTCTTCCCCTCAAATTCCTTCAGCTGTTGGACACAGTACTCATCGATGGGCTCTATCATGTAGATCACCTCCAAGCCGTGCTTCCGGAGACGCTCCACAAAGGCTGAGTTTGCAACTTGGTCCTTGGTTTCACCTGGATGAGCATAAACCCAGTTATAACTTGATGGGTCTTACAATCTAGCCCAATTAAATACTTATTAATGGTCCAAACCCGCAGACAATGGCTAGCTCAGGGACTGAGCGTCTTTTACACAACCAACACCAAGCACGCGTATTTGCATGTGGTGCCGCTGTGTTGAAGCACAGCCATGAGGATGGGCCCCACCTCTCTACTAGTGGTTACCAGTGATGTAGTAGATGTGCTTCTGGTTTTCCTTCATTCTGGTGCAGTAGTCCTTGAGAGACACCATCTCATCGCCAGACGCAGATGTGTAATAGCGCAACAGCTCTGAAAGCTTCTTCCGGTTTTGAGAGTCTTCGTGTATCCCAAGCTAAAAAAAGAACATTTTGCTTTAAGATGACTTTTTCTACATTTAAAAAAATAGAAATGCACTTAAAAAATATGGAAAGCTAGTTTGAAAACTGCCACTAGGTGGTCAAGTGTTTACAAACCTTTATGTTTTTAGAAAACTGCTCATAAAACTTTTTGTAGTTCTCTTTATCTTCCGCCAGTTCGGTGAAGAGTTCCAAGCACTTTTTGACCAAATTCTTTCTGATAACTTTCAAAATTTTGCTTTGTTGCAACATCTCCCGAGAAATATTTAAAGGGAGGTCCTCAGAGTCCACCACGCCACGAATGAAATCTGAACAAATAAAAAGACCAAATACACTCAAAGTTAACTCCAGTAACAACACACAGAAGAACAATTCCCCTCCTCCACACGTTAGATTAAATCTTAAGTTTCAGAACTTGGACCTGAAGTCACCTCCTTGGACACCTTCACGGCCAGCCGTACTCACTGAGATACTCCGGGATCAGCTCCTCACAGTTGTCCATGATGAAGACCCTGCGCACGTACAACTTAATGTTGTTCTTTTTCTTCCGATTCTCAAACAGGTCAAAAGGGGCACGTCTCGGGACAAAGAGAAGGGCCCTGAATTCCAACTGTCCTTCAACTGAGAAATGCTGCAATTAAAACACACACACACACACAAAGTCACACTGTGCCAAAGGATAACTCAAGTTAACTGTCGCTGAAACCAGAGTTGGGGAACAGCACTTTGGGTTAAGGAGGTACCACCTGGGAGAGATGGGCTAGCTTTGAAGTGCTCAGTCCTCACTCACCTTCACAGCCAAATGGTCTTCCCAGTCATTGGTAAGGCTCTTATAGAACTCTCCATACTCTTCATTGGTGATATCATCAGGATTTCTGGTCCAAATAGGCTTAGTTTTGTTGAGAACCTCTTGGTCAATGTACTTTTCCTTGATCTTCTTCTTCTTCTTCTTGTCACCATCCTTCTTTTCTTCTTCTTCTTCATCGGAACCAACATCTTCTATTTCAGGCTTATCATCTGACTCCTTTTCTTCTTTTTCTTTCTCTTCCTCCTTCTCTTCTTTTTCTTCAGCCTCATCATCACTCACTTCTTTATCTCGTTCTTTCTCCACCTAAAAAAAAAGTCAATGAAATCACATCACCTCTGCATTCCAGAACGAAAAATAAAGCCCATGCTAGTCAGCCAAATTGAGAAACACCAAGTAGTTAGAAAGCTTTTCATCAATAGTTGATGCACAACTGCTTAAAAAGCCCAAAGTGCTTTACCAGAACTGAGTAGACTAACTATTGCTTAGTTTCCAAGATAGCCTCAGACTAATCTAGTAAACATTACAGGGACTTACTTAACACATTTCAATAACCCACAGAGGCATCACTCAGCAGCTAGTCTCAGGTCAACATCCATGGTTCTGTGAATAGGTCTTTATGGGAACACGCCTAAATTGCAAACAATAGCATGCTGATCTTTTCACCTTTGTGTTGACTAAGAACCTTTTGTTTCACTTCCAAATAGGTACTCCTCGATGCCCATGCTGCTGCTGCTGGAGGTACTATCACTTGTCTTGCTGTTTGGGAGCCATACTGCACTTAATGGTGGCAATTTTCAAAAGAAAATCCAGGCAGACACTACCAAGCTCAAGGCATATAATATACAAGGTGAGCTGCTGCTGCCTACCAGCTGAAGCTCAGGTTTAAGCTTTTTATACTAGGAAAACATTCCATTAAAATGATGGCAGGCACAGTACAGACATAAACTGGTAAACGGGTAACAGGCCTCTATGACATCGTCCACAACTATTACAGATTACACGGGTGCCCATTCCCTACAAACTTTCGGAAGCCCCCTCTCATTGTGTACTGCACCATCATCGCTCCTGACAGCGCAAGCATTTTGTATAAAAGGCATGAAGTACGTGTTTTGAACAAGAAGCTGTTGCGTTCACTAAGCCTGGTTACAGCCCACTCCCCAATCGGGATTTCTCATCTCTATTACAGCCTGATGGAACCATGGACATATGAGGGGGGTGTCAAAGTTCACGGAAAAATTCCCCTACCTTTTAATTCCATCTCTCACCCCCAAACTTTTTGAAACATCCTCATCTATGAAGTTGATGTTAGCGTATGACCGTATATAAAAACTTACAAAAAGTGTAATGGGATAGCCAATAAACTGAGAGTGTTTCTTCACAATCTCCTTCATTCTTCTTTCCTCCAAGTACTCAGTTTGGTCTTCCTTCAAATGCAGAATAACCTTCGTTCCACGACCCATAGGTTCACCTTAAAGTGATGGGAAACCAATACAATTTCAGTCTTTTAGCTAAACCAAGATTCAAGATTTAAACAGTCAGCCAGAATGAACACAGCTAATCCTGTGAAGCAGGGCACCCTTACTTGGTTGGGGACCAACCCTGTCTTCCTCCACCAATGGCAGTTACTGACTACCTTGTTCTAGACAGATAACCACAAAGCCAAGCACCAGATAAAGTGCTCTCTACAGAGACCAAGTATATGGGGCCAACAGCATTTTTACACACCTATCTCAGATCCCCCTGAAAGTTCAGTGCCTACCTATGTCTGTCCTGACGGTGAAGGAGCCTCCAGCCGAGGACTCCCACGCATACTGCTCATCATCGTTGTGCTTGGTGATCACCGTCACCTTCTCAGCCACCAGATACGCAGAATAAAAGCCCACACCGAACTGGCCAATCATGGAGATGTCTGCGCCAGCCTGCAGCGCTTCCATGAACGCCTTGGTCCCCAACTTGGCGATGGTACCAAGGTTATTGATCAAATCGGCCTTGGTCATGCCGATCCCCGTGTCTACAATGGTGAGGGTTCGGTCCTGTTTGTTGGGAATGAGGTTAATGTGCAGTTCTTTCCCCGAGTCCAGCTTACTGGGGTCCGTCAGACTCTCGTATCGGATTTTGTCCAGGGCCTGTTAGGAAGAGAAACACCACGACCTTGTTAAGACACAACGTCCCCCCCAAGCGTCGTGAAAAACCCAACTGCGGCCCCCACAAGCCAACTCACATCGGAGGAATTGGAGATGAGCTCCCGCAGGAAGATCTCTTTGTTCGAGTAAAAGGTGTTGATGATCAAGGACATCAACTGGGCGATTTCCGCCTGGAAGGCGAACGTCTCCACCTCCTCATCCTCCATGGGCTGATCCTGGACCTGGGTCTCCTCGGGCATCTGCAAGAGGGACGCGCACAGGCACCGATTTGGGGAGGTCGGGGGAATCAGTGATAAACGATGACCTCATTCGGGCCCTAAATGCGAGGCATGCGCGCTCCGGGGGCACAGGGGCGCCCGGCTCCCCGCCAACGGGCGCCGCTCCCTTTGCAGGCCGGGGGGCGACGCCATGACGCCCCCACTGCAGCGCGGCACCATTCGGGGGCCCGGGTCGTCCGGGGCGAAGGGGCCAGCGCTGGACTCCACGGAAAACCCCCGCTCCGCATCCGCACAACCATCCCGAGGCTCCCCAGGCGCCCCCTCACCTTGGAGAAAGGACCGCACAGCTCCGCAGCAAAGCGGCACCAGGACGCAGTAGCAACTGGAGCGCCGCCCCCGCGTCTTCCTTATATAGTGGCGGCCCGCCCAGCGCGCGGCGCCTTTTCTAGAAAGCTCCCGAACCTTCCGGAAGAACCCTCCCTAACCGCCACCGCGGCCGTGCTTCTGCGCCTGCGCGCCGGCCGGGCCCGCCCCTCCCGCGGGAGCTCCACGGGCGAACGGACGCGCGTCTCTAGTGCGCCTGCGCGGCCCGGAAGGCTCGGGAAGGCCTTGGCGCCGGCTCGGTGCACCCCGCCCCACTCCGCCCCGCCCTCCCCAGATCCCTGCGTCCGTCCCGCGCACTCCAAAGGGGGGAGGCGGGGCCCAGAGCTGAGCGCACGTGGTCCTGTTGTAAGGCTGAAATGTTGCTGTAATGTTGTTACTTGCCGTAGAGTCGGCTCATAGCGACCTTGTACAGGGTTTCCAAGGCTGTAAATCTTTAGGGGGGCAGAAAGCCTCATGTTTCTCCCGCGGAACAGCTGGTAGTTTCCAACTGTTGACTCGGGTTAGCAGCCCAATTCCTAACCACTAAGCTACCAGAGCGCCTTGTAATGTAATGGGGATGCTTTATCTTAAAGCCCCCAAGTCTGCAAACCTCGGGGTCTCAACGTCTTCTCCAACTGCTGAGTGATTTGGGGGTCGGTTTAGGGGCCCTGAGCAGCGATTAAGGAGCCTGCTCTGGTAACGTTGTGATTACCAGTCAGGCTGCTAATTTAGCGGAGTCCTGGTGTGGCGCTTCTGGGTTAATGGTCTAGACTGCAAAGTTGGTTTGGACCACAAGGTCGGTGGTTCAAGCTCACCACCCGCTCCTTGTAAACCCTCCACAGAGTCTCTATGGCTTGGAACTTAACAAAGATTCACAGCCTCTGAAACTCCATATAGGGTCGCTATGAATCAGAACCGACTCCACGGCACACTACCATCAGACTTCAGGAATATGGCGCTGAGGGTCACTATGGGTCGGAATTGACTCGATGGTACTTAACAACAACCAGGCTTAGGGAGTCCTGGTGTGGTGCTGTAGGATAAACACTATCACCGCAAGGTTCGTGGTTCAAACTGGATTGCTAGTCGCAATGTTGGTGGTTAAACCCACCAGCTGCTCCTTGGAAACCCTATACAGGGTTGCTATTGACTCGACAGCACTTAACACCACCAACAACTAGCTTCAGTGGCTGGTGTGGTGCTGTGGGTTAACGCACTCAAGCTCACCAGCCGCTCCTGGGAAACCGTATGAATGCAAACAGGGTCTCTGAGTCGGCTGCAACTCAGCGGCACTTAACAACAACCAGGTTTAGGGAGTCCTGATGTGACGCTGTAGGATAAACACTGGACTGCTAACCGTAAGGTTGGTGGTTCAAACCCACCAACTGCTCCTTCGAAACCCTATACAGGGTCACTATGAATCCGCGGAACCCGCTCGAAGGCACTTGAACCACAACAACCCGACTTAGGGGGTCTGGCGTACCCACCTAGCTGGTTTTCCTTCCCACTGCAGCTGTGGATAGGAGGACTGGCCCAGGACGGGGGAAAGTGAGGGATGACACGGTAAGTGGACGGTGACCGGGGCGCAGGTGGACCCCTGATTTCTTAGACTCACTGGAAAAGAGCCCAGGAGGAGGGGTCATCTTTGCACAAGTGGCCGCTTCTGAGGTCAAGGAGGGACGGGGAGTGAGGAAAGCCGGAGCAGGTCATTCTGGGCCCGCTCAGGTTTCCAGGGTTCCTTCCAACCCGGGAGAGTCGGTGGACTGGCCTGCCCTAATGCCCCTCTGTGCACACAGGGGGAGCCTGAAGGAGCTTTGTTACAGTACTGGGATAAGGTCTCCAGCCCCTTTGCAGTCCTTTGCAAAAGCAAGGTGTGATGTGATTTAAAGGAACCACACTTTCTCGAGTTCCTTTAGTCTGGAATTCTAGAATTTGATAAGCAAACTCCATTCACCCAGCTAACCCATAGTGGTTTTGTAAAGCCCATCTTTTTTACTTACTGTTGTTGTTATGTAAACCCTATAAATAGCGACCTTGTATAGGGTTTTCAAGGAGCAGCTGGTGAGCTTGAACCACCAACCTTGCAGTTCAAACTGACTTTGCAGTCTTAACGCATTAGCCCACAGTGCTGCCCAGGATTCTTTTTACTTATTACTTATTTAGGTTACCTTTGGTGGTTCAAATCCACCAGCCACTCTGGGTGTCAGCAAAGATGAAGTTGCTTCTGTAAAGACTAAATCTTGGAAACTTTATACTGGGTCCCTGAGTTGGGCTGTGGCAGTGGTGGGTTTGGTTCCAAAGTACTTAACTCATTGCTTAGTTGATGACCCTGCCCCCAAAGCCAGTTTCTAAATGGGCATTCAAGAATTTTGAACATTACCCGATCAGAGTTGTAAGACTGGGGGAGGAAAAGTTCCGTAGACATCACTCAGGACACAGACTCCCAGCCAAGCCCATGCCAGAGTACGCCCCCTCATAACCAACTCATCCTTTCCTCTGACTTTTGTCCCTGACTCCTCCTTTTCCCTAAATTCAGGGCCCTTGGGAACCCTCTGGAATCTCCTTACAAGGTAGAGGTAAACAAACTTCTGTATCTCTAGGGAAATAGTGTTTCCTGAAGCAGTTTTCAGAGGAGCTGGAGACCATTAGGGTTAGTGAAATACACAGAGCCTTGAAAAGAGGAAAATAGGAAGGGGACCATCACCGGGTGAGCAGGGTAAACCAAAAGCAGAACCCCTTTCTGGCACCACCATGTATTTCAAAGCAGAACTGTTCCATAGTGTTTTCTTGGCTGTGAGCTTTGTGAAAGCTTTACTGGGTGGGTTTGCACAATCTTCCTATAAGTTGTTGCTGTTAAGTGTCATCGAGTCGGTTCCTACTCATAGCAACCCTCTGTAGGGTTTCCAGGGAGTGGCTGGTGAACTTGAACCGCCAACCCTGTAGTTCAAACCAACCTTGCAGTGCAGCGCATTAACTCGCCAAGCACAAATAAATGCCTTGTGTTACTCAGGGGCCTGTGTGGGGATAGTGTTGGTCATATTGCTCCTATACGTGTGCTGGGTCATGCTGTCAAATGGATGTCTTAGCTGTCAAATGGGATGTGCTGGAATGTTCTAGGCCCAGGTTTTCCTTGCAGCCTGGGCAGAGGGTGGGAGTGAGGGGGTGGAGGGGTGGAAGGTTGAGAGAGAAGTTAAAAGGAAGACAGGTTGTTGGGATCTGCAGGTTCGTATTACTACTTTTATCTGTGCAAAGTATTGACCACCAGGTTGACCCTGCCTCCATCTACCCCCTCCTGTTACCCTCTGCCCCCCACTGGCCACCTAAACCTCTCCTGACATGGAGACCTGCTTGCTCTCCTTTTCCAACCCAGGGTCTGACATTGCCCTGGAAGTTGAAGATGTCTTAGAGATGAACTGATCACTTGCTTGGCTCTTAAGGTCTCTGTATATACATCAGTTTGCACTTGTTTTTTTTTTTCCTTAAATGTTTTATTGTGAATTATGTGATAGTTTGCATGGGAGAACATTAGTTTTACATTCATTCTATCGTATACCGTCTCATTGCCGTGGTTACAATCCCCTTCATGCAATCCTTTCCCCGAACCCCCCAATCAGTTTGCACTTTGTATGTTCCCTGTTGACGTACTGTGGCAACCATTTGAAATGATTTTAAGGAAAAATGTTACTTGTATGGGGTATTAAATGATGTGATTTCCATATTCTGTTGGGTCACCTCTCTTTGGAATGGGCAATAAATGTGGATCTCTTCTGATTGGTTGCTGACTGGGCAAGGGTTCTCAGTGGTTGGGCAGTTAAGATGTAGCTCTCTCCCATGATGTAATGTGATGTGATAAACCAATAAGAGGATTAAAGGTGGGATATTGGAGCTTTGGTAGCATAATGGTTACGAATCGGGCTGCTAACCTCAGGGTCAGCTGTTTGAAACTACCAGCTGTTCCACGGGAGAAAGATGAGGCTTTCTGCTCCCCTAAAGATTTGCGGCTCTGGAAACTCTGTGCAGGGTCACTATGAGTCAGAACCAACTCCACGGTACCTAACAACAACAACATTGTTCTTTAGTGCCATCAAATTGGTTCCGACTCATAGCGACTATATAGGGTTCCCAAGGAGCAGCTGGTGGGTTTGAACTGCCAACCTTGTAGTTAGCAATCCACTGCTTATCCTACATCACCACACTGGGGTACACCATACTCAATCCCACCACCACCACCCTGATCTGATTTATTGGAGATTCCCAAGTGTTTGGCATGCAACACCGTTTCTTTTTTTTTATTTTTTAACTTTTTACTGTGAATTGAGTGAAGGTTCACAGAGCAGATCGTCAGTTTTACAGTCAACAAGCCATACACTTTGGTTCACTATGGGGTTGCAATCCTCTCCAGGTACTAACAGTTAATAGTATTTACCTCTATCCACTTTGACTATTAAGGAGCTCTGGTAGCATAGTGCTCACCTCAAGGTCAGCAGTTAGAAACTACCAGCTGTTCCACGTCAGAAAGATGAGCGTTTCTGCTCCTGTAAAAATGTACAGCTTTGGAAACCTTATACAGGGTCGTCGTGAGTCGAAACGGATTCCATGGGACACAACCACCCCCACCCCCCCACTAATGTAACTATTACATCCCTCTCTGCATCTCCTCCTACCTTCATCCTTCCTCTACCAGCCTCTCTCCTGTAGTATATTACCTGTCCTGTCATCCATGTTAACATGTCTACCCTCTAGCTCTGGTAGTGTAGTGGTTACGAGTCAGGCTGCTAACCTCAAGGTTAGCAATTCGAAACTACCAGACATTCTGTGGGAGAAAGATGAGGCTTTCTGCTCCTGTAAAGATTTATAGCTTTGGAAACCCTATACAGGGTCACTGTGCATTGGACCTGTTGCCACAGCACATGACCACCACCACCACCCTCTAGCCCATGAATAAGTTTCCCTCCCTCCCCCCATAGATTGCTTCTTTTATCAAGAAAACTTTTTTTTTTTTTAGCTTTTTATAACATTGGTCTCATACAATGTTTGTCCTTGTGTGATTGACTGATTTCACTCAGTACTATGTCCTCCAGGTTCAACCATGTTGTGAGGTGTTTCACAGGTTCATCATTGTCCTTCAACGTTTTCTTGTATTTAATTTTC